ACAAATCTCTGTCGTCTCACATTATCATCATACGGCCCAACGCCAGTTACACACATACATGGCTGTATGTCTGTGTGTAGGTATACGTATACGTGTGTTTTGACGTCCTCTGTTCAACCCCTACAGTGACTTATACTCCACTGTCAGTTTTCTCAGGAGCCCTCCCCTGCAGGCTCCCAGCAATCAGCTGACTATACTGTAACATAGCCCAGGGCTGAGTAAGGCAACAGATTGCCTCCTTCTCTTGTCATTAGTAAAGTGGGCATCAATCTTTCACGTTACAGGAGGCCTCATTCTCTGGCTTCTGAATAGATCTGTCTCCAGTGTTAACAGCTAATTGGCCCTGGCGCCAATGTAGCATTCAAGGTAGTCATTTAGGTACATTACAGGCGGAGGTTCTGAGGGCTTGGCAAGCCCAGAGAGAGGGAGGGAGGGAGGGAGGGAGGGAGCAGTGGGTGACATTACTAAGATAATTTGATTCCAAGTCAAAACAATGGCATTATATGAAGTGTGCAGAAATGTGTCTTATTAATATTTACAACGTGTCCCACTGGTTCGACAAGTCCCTAGTCTTTCTGAGAAGAATGCAGTATTGTGCGCACGTGCGTTTTTGAAAAGAGCATGTCCTTTTCCTGGATGAGGGCAGGTGACATATACTAGACAAAGCAGGGCTGAGGTGTAATTCAATATGATTGTTTATCAAATGTAAATGAGTTCAAGTCATGAAGCCACAAAAATGAGTTAAACTGACTTTTTTAGACTGCACAACAGAGGAACACGGTTAATTTAACATTTGATTTTGCACTAATTTGCCATAATGGAATATGTATTGATATAGAGTTGTGAAAAGTGGTTGTTGACAGGTGGAGTTACAGTTGTATCTGCTAACAATTATAACAAAGCACTCATTAATTGTTTATGCACTGCTCATATTGTAAATGCTAAACGGCTGAACTTCAAGTGTTACCCTTTAGACTACCAGTAAGTGGCCTGCAGTGTTTGTCCTGATCTAAGACGGCAACCATGTCAAGTAAATTTTATTTTGAGAAAGCCAAAATCACAAATTGGCCTCAAGGGGCATTCCAGTGTTTACAACAGCATCCATACTTCGACTCTTGTTTCAGATAAGCCATGTAATCACAACATCCCTGCTCCAAGTCCTCCTCTCTCTCTCTCCCCTCATGTCTAGTCACATTTCTACTGCGAGCCATTTAATAAAAGGCAAAAACATCCCAAAAATCATATTGTTCAGATTATGCACAGTGGATGACTCGATTTTATTTGATTTTTTTTTTTTTATTCTTTTTATCTACAGTAATGAGCCAGCTGTTATTTTTGTATTCATCTTGACGGCTCCCAGGTCTTAAAGTAAAGTAAGGAAGAGTTCAACATAATAAAAGCAGCAAACTTCGAGAGAAACTGCCAACGAATACTGTATAGGATTATATAAATTTACATATTGTAACAGTACGGCAAAGTCACTAATCTTAGTGATGTAACCCCTCACATTTTAACATTTTAACATGTTCGCTTCTTCAACTTTGTACCAACTAAGTATCATTATAGGTAGTAAAAAATTGTGGTGTGATGGCATGAATGAGTGTTTTAATGGGAATGTAAATAGTGTATGAGTGCGGCCCAGCCTGCTGATTATCCCAACCAAACATTCCACCACTTCAAAGCTTCTGCTGTAATTACAATGCTCTGAGGTGTGCCCGACCCGCACACCCAGAGGCTTCTCAAGCCTCTATGTCTCTCACACACACACACACACACATATGTACTGTACAGGCATTCAAACAGTATATATATACACACACACACACACACACACACAAACATGCTCAGACAAATTGCTTTCGCTATTATCAGGCTTAAATGATATTATGGAAAGAAGGAAGTGGGATGTGTGGGTAATTTTGCTACACCCAGGAGAGCACCCCTCTCATACCCCTCCTCGTCCTCCTTCCTTCCTCCCTTCCTTCCTCCCTTTCTTCCTTCCCTTGCAAAATCCTCTTTGAAGCCATGGTCACACAAAGTTGCGGTCACATTATTTGCATGTCTAAATGATATTTAACATGCATGTAGTACACAAGTGTTCACATGCAGTCAAAGTGCATCTCAGGGAACTTCACCTCAGACTTGTTGATGGATGTGTTGATGGACTTGTTGATGGATGTGTGGATGAGGGCCAACATTTTGTTTGTGATTAGAATATCTGTGACTGACAGCTTCCCCGTTCCACACACTTGCCAAGAATATTTTCTATTGTACTTCCTTACTAAATATTCTTGCTTATTAGACCCAACTCTGGTCACGCTGCCTCTTTTCACCTTTTGTCATCTGATTTCTCATCTGATAGATGGACCTGCAGCTGGATTTAAAAATAATAAAGTTTGACTGGGCGGATTTTTATGTTGACAATGAGATCAAATGCGGTGACAGTGAGGGAAAGAAAGAGAGGGTGGGCAGACTGAAGGAGCCTGATAAAGACAGAATAAAGAAAGAGGGGATGCAAGGAAGGAAAGACGGAAGGTCAGGAGAAAGATGAAGGACAGGAATAAAACATTGATGAGGGAAGAGAAAGAAGACAGGAAGTAAAGAAGAAAGTAAAGAAGGAATGAAGGAAAAAATAAAGTGCAGTATGCGCGACTAAAGTTAGAAAGGATAAAAAAGTGCAAGAATGAAGACAGGAGGGAGTAGGGAACGAAACATGCCACTGACACTCAGCCAAGAAGGAGTTCTGACAAGGTGCCTGCAGGGCGTGCGGGCACAGCCAGAGAGAAGGAGAGATACAGGGATAGAGAGACAGAGAGAGCTAGCGAGAGAGGAATGGAGGGGGTGGAGGAGGATGGAGGTGGGGATCCTGAACAGAGCTGCAGAAAAAAAAAAAAAAAAAAAAAAAAGGCAACAGTTTCTCCCCTGAGGAGTCAGTCCTTTCATCTGGCCGCTCACTGGCGCCTTCACAAACCTCTGATTGTCTGTGAAATAACCCCACTTTAATAAGGCTGCAGGAGCAGTCTCCTGGGAAATGAGTCCTGCTGCACAGCCTGACATAGCAGCTCAGGGCCTGCTGGCTACATGTAAAAATGCAGGGAAAAATCTGAGCATTTACTGTATATAAATCTATCCTCTGGGATGTTTGAGGAAAAAAATATATATATATACATGTATATATATATAATATAATATAATATATATATATATATATATATATATAGTGTGCTCTTTAAAGAACGGCTATATTAAAAAGGAAAAACTTGTGAATGTCTGTATTTTTACTTTCGCCTTCAGTAAGTTTTAAGGAAAACGATTCAATAAGCAGCTTATTCTTGCAGGAGTGGAGGCTGTAATAGTCCTGCACAGCTGTAGGCTGTGTCTGACAGAGCCACACATACAAACACACTCTCTCACAGCATCCAACACTTACAGACATTGGAAGATTATGACTGTGGATCCGACCGTGTGATGTGAAATAGTGATTAATTATCATTCAGAGGAAGGACGGATCTAATGAGCAACGGTCTGGGTGTTAAATATGAGCAATTAGGTGACAGATAAGAAATTAGTTAAACAAGCATGACCATGGGAAAAAATCTTAAGATAAGTGAAATATCCTTTCAGCTTAAAATATTTCTACCATCATCAAAGGACCGTTTCTTCGGATAAACTGCCGGAACAAGTGTAATGTTCTCCATCAGGAGTTGGGCACTTTCATCTGACATAACGTGAAATTGCCCATGGAAATATCCCAATGAGTTACTTCATGAGAATCACAATGAGTTACTTCATGTCTAATGTGCGTAGAAAATGGGACTGAATCATAGGACAAGAAGATGAATGAGTCGGCTACAGACATGGAGAGAGGCATGTGAATGTCTCATCCAGTTTATGTCCAGACACCAGCTGGACCGAGCTGAGGATTTTAAAAACTAAATCTGTAATTTAGCGAAGTAATATACTCTGTAATTTGAGTGTGACACCCTTCTTTTAATGCTGGACTGGCACAGCACATAACTGCATTGTTGGTTACAACTGGAAAGTCCCAATAAAGGGAAGAGCAAACTAATCAGAAGGAGAGATAAAGAAGAAAAAGGGATCAGTGTTTCGCCCCGGTATAATGCTCCATAATTATCCGCATGGGGCCCGTGTTTACACACGCAGTCTCATGAGGTTAGAGTTAGAGCTAATCCATTACTGAAGCTTAACATGTGATAATGTTGTGGCACAGCTATTATTGTTGCAGCCCATTTCCTTCATGTCATTTAATCAACCAATGAGGTGACATGAGGGCAACGCGTGTCATCTAGTTTTCAACTAAAAATCCTGATTTTCACAGAACAAAAGCTACAGTTACAGTCCTGTAAAGTATTATTTAACACACATCTGGATTTTCTTTTTCACTTTGTTATGACACAAAACTGAACAGCTGTTGGCAGACAACAACTGCTACTTATCTCAGTTGATATTAATTAAATAAAGAAAAAACCTTTCCAGTTTGTTTTTTATTGTTACCTGCATTAGGGAGTGAAGACCTCCTCAAACCACCCCAGTGACCCTTGAGGACTTTTGCTGCATTCAAGTACAATGGGTAACCTTCTAAATCACACAATGAAGAAAAAAAAAACTGCAGAGTCGCTTGATTATAGAATAACAATAACAATAACAATGATCCTAATATCAATAATAATACTACTAATAATAATGATACATTTTGTAGGGTCTGATGCCCTTCACTCCTCAAAACAAAACAAGCGTCTTCTCCTTTCCGACCGTCCCTGAAGGCAACATCTGCCCACTCATAAACATTTTGGGCGGCAGCGATTGGTCAAAGTTGGGCCGTGTCATTGTGATGCGTCTACATACTCCCACATACTACTTGACAGCTCCATAACATTGCGCTCGCCGGAGCCACTCTCACCTGGCTGCTGCAACTTTTGTCCCGCAGCTGCGCACGGAGTTCACCCGTTTTTGTTTTTGTTTTTTTTATTTTTCCTTTTTGATGGCCACTGAGATGGCCGCCCAGGAGACCTCTAACGACCTGGGGTGCAATTCGTCCGAGGAGGACAGTACCAACCGTGCGGCCTTGGCAGAGGGGACGGCGGAGGAAAAGACATCTCCGGTGGCGCGACGGCATCACCCGTTCAGCGTGGAGGCGCTCATGTCCGGGAGGAAGACGGACAGCCGCGGCGGAGAGTCCACCTGCTGCAAACCGGAGGGACGCTCGGTGACGGTGTCCCCCACGGGTTTGAACTCTCTGTATCTGTGTCGGGGGACGTGCAGTCCTCCCGGGGGAAGCCGAAAGAGCTTAACGGCTGCGCCTACGTCGCCGGTGAAGTCCGAGGCATCGGAGTCCGAGGACTGCGCATCCTGGGTCACCAACAGCGCGTTTCCCACACAGCCTCGTAAGTTTATCTCACATTCTGAAGTTACCTTTAAGTCTGAACAAGTATAGGCTGAATATGGACGGGACAAATTCTTCATTTATACTCATCATGTTTTAGAGTTTACTGGAATATGATTCTCCACAAGCTGCTGTAAGGTTTCCTGTTTCTTGAGCTCAAGAAAGGCATGAAGCCAGTAAACTATGCAAAGTGAAACAACAACTCTAAAATCAGTCAGCTGTTAATTGTGTGAGGAGGTAGGCTACTTCTAACACATAAAAATATTTGTCTTGTTAATGAAAAGTTATATGATTAAAGTGTGTCCTGACATCCAACTATATCATCTTTAAGTTAAATAATTTCCTGTTTAAACACAACCATCAGTATATGGCTCACAGGAAGGACTCTCACAATCCACAATAAGTCAACAGGACTCAAATTCATACATTTACATATCAAACCCTCATTCTAAAATCTTCACTGTGTCTTCTCCCAGGTCATTCCAGTCCTTCCTGTCAGTTGAGGAAGCACAAGACCAACCGAAAGCCCCGCACCCCCTTCACCACGTCTCAGCTGCTGGCCCTGGAGAGGAAGTTCAGGCAGAAGCAGTACCTGTCCATCGCAGAGCGGGCCGAGTTCTCCTCCTCCTTGACCCTGACAGAGACCCAGGTGAAGATCTGGTTCCAGAATCGCCGGGCAAAAGCCAAGAGGCTCCAGGAGGCCGAGCTGGAGAAACTCAAGATGGCCGCTGACGCCAAGACGGTGGCAGTGGCGGCCGCCGCTGCTGGAGCTTTACGCCCTGGCTTTACTTTACCGCTGTCGCTGGGCGCCATGCAACTGTACGGACAGTCGTACTCCGCCTATCACCACCACCACCACCACCACCACAGACCCATACTGCCCATTTCACCTTTAGGACTGTATGCTGCTCCTCTGGGCTACAGCATGTACCACTTATCATAGAAATGGAAATACCTTTGATCTTTGGTGAAATGTCTTTCAGTGCATTTCCAAGGATTCCCAAAAAACGGACACAGAGGACGTGCGGCTGACATTTTAAAAATCAGTGTTTATAATATATCCACTGCACAAGGAGTGCTTGAATCAACTTTCCGAGCACTTCAAGTCAAATTAGAATTTTTTTTTTCCCACAGCGAGGATGAAAAAAAACGGTGTTCTCTTGCCCCTTTGGACTGACTGTTTACATGACTTATCTATAGGAGGAGGGGTGTTGCTGCCCAGCTGTTTATACTCTTCACTTGTTTACTCCTGCAATAATTGAGCTGGGCGAGCACTTGCACTGGGCACAATAATACAGACTACAACTCCAACTTTTCACCAAAGCCTTTTTTTTTTTTTTTTTTCCTTTCTTTTTTTCCTTTTTTTTTTTTTTTTTTTTTTTTTTTTTTTAATACAGTGCCTCGTGTTGAAAAGGGCCTTAATATCAAGACGCTTTGTAGACCTCTGTGGGTGAATGAGTGTTTCAGCAACTCAGGCCAAATAAAACATATCACTGAAGCATTCGTTTCATTTCCCTTCTACTAAAGTGTCTGCCTTGAAAGAAAAAAAAAAAAAAAGTCAAATTCAGGTTTGCGGTGTCGACGACACAGCGAGGTTTAACCCTCGGTATAATCATCCCAATGAAAACTTTACACTGCGTCAATTACAGCTTTGTTCATGTTTTATCTCTCTTAGCAATAAAAACATTTTCAACTCCCCCTCATTTCCTTTATAAAGTGTAGACATATTTATTCTCTTTTTGAAATACAGTGCTGGAAATGAATAGATGAATGCCTGATGTTGTGTATTTATGATGTAATATGGTACAAACTGTCTGACCAAAATTGTATTTATATTGTTCTTCCTTCTGAACGTCCCTTTGAAAGGGCCGACATTGTGCTATGCAGTTTTTTCCACCAATGTTTTATCATCCAAATGAACAAAACAACTGAAGCCTTTCAGACTGTTTCCCTTAAATAAATGACATTTAATTTTATGTATAGAAAAATAAAGTAGCAATATGTAAACGTCTGCATCTATACTCACTGAGGATCTTTCAAGAAAGTCACATTTTCAGTAGTTTACCATCGAAACCGAGCAGCTGTTTTGCATTTTTTTTTTTCTTCTTGTGCAGATACAGCGGCTCTTGGTGCATGTTCGTGCTAACGCTCGTGTGTGTGTGTGTGTGTGTTTGTGTGGTTTTAATGCTGCGTCTGTGTTTCCCATCACACAGTGGTCAGTTCAAAGCAATGTTTGACAAACCATAAACGATATCCATAAATTATCCGGCTTCACAGATAGTTCCCGTTATTACTGAGCTGTCGTTTTACCACACTGGTCAAACTTTCTTTTTTTTTTTCTTTTTTCTTTTCAAAGCTGAGTTACACTTTTATTATGATGCTTTGTTTATACAGAACTACATTCTGTTGTGTTCCGGGCAGTCATTATCTCTGTATTTATGACCAAAACCGAGTTTCACTAGCAGTTACAACAGTAGCGTGAGAACTAACAACAGCATTTATCTCTGTAATAGGTGGGTGGGTTGACAATTGGGGATAAACAATCTGAAACTATTGTCTGTTTTAATCTTTATGTTTCTAAATCTCACTAGCAGTGACATTTACGGTTTATTTAACTGGTAATAATCCATAATAATCTTTCACTTTGCTTGAGGGAGAGGTGTTAATTTGCATTTTTCATATATTCAATATTCGCTTGCTCACTAACGAACAACTTAGCTTGTTAGAGGGGAACCTCACTCATTTGTTCCCTCTCTAATCCTCATCAGAATCATGTTCTTCCTGCCTCATTAAACTTAATATTAACGACCACTTTTGACTAAGGTTTGAATTAGCAGGAATTCTACCAGACCACTCCAGCTCGGTTTGTTGTATAGCCGCAGGGTAAGTTTGGTGGCATGTGGGGGCGCTTTTAAAAAAAAAAAAAAAAAAAGAAAAAGAAAGAGGTGCCTGTACTTTGTTGCAATTATGAGAGCTGCTTACAACTTCCGTGTGACTTTGATGTGATGAGGAAATCATTTATTGGCAGCAGCATATTTATGAGGTTCCCTCTTTAATCAGAACAAGGCGGAGAGACCAGGGCAGGGCAGGGGGAGTAGCTTACATTGGCGAGCAATCAGCCTAATGAAGTGCAGATTGGTAGAAGTGGCTCGGTTGTGAAACATCCAGTTTGTGCTACTTACTGGAGGGGTGTTGTATTTCAGTGGTGAATTCAATAAATCCTGAGCGTTCTTGTTTGGAGGGGTTGTCATTAGCACTGGGGATCTGTGTTTGTCATTGTTGGTCGCTGTCGATCTGACAGTGAGTGGGCATGTTTGTGGCTTTGCATGTTTCCTTACAGACAACATGTGACTGGGCACTTCTCTATCTGCAGGCCATGTGCTTGTCTCCTACCTCCTCTAGTGGCTGTTTGTAGTATAGCACCATGGGGGAAAACTGGAACTGGAAATGAAGACTAACACACAGATTGTGCAGCAGCTTATCTTTGACAGTGCAGTTCTGTATCATACAGTAAAATGTGGATCCAGATGGAATTCCATACACTACTTTGCAGAGTCACATCTGTGACATTCAAACTGCAGGACGTCTTTAGAGAAAACATGACTGGATGTTGTGATCGTACAAGCTTTGAAATGTCTGTCAAGAACCAGTCGTGTGTTTTATTCATTGTTTGATTTTATTTTTTAAAAAGTTATGTGTCCTACTTACGCTCTTACCCATAATAACAGGGAGAAATTATTGTTCAAATTCAAACTAATGTTCAATTTATGCTCAAATCTAAGAGGCGAACGAAACACACAAAAAAAGGCTTCTCCATAGGTTACATGTAGATATGTTTTCTCCATAGGGGTCTATGTTTTGTAAACTATCACCAGGCTGTGCAGGGTCTCTGCATTTACTTGTGATCTGCTCCGTACTGTCAATAACGTAGCATCCCACTATTTTTACCTACTATGTAGGCCCGTTCAGCTATGACGTAGCTGTGATGTCACATCCCCCTTTGTCCTTATTTCAACAGACACGTCAGCAAAAACCTCCAGATACTGGGCACGCATTGCAGTTCTGAGGGAGCTGCTTCTCGAAGCCTTTGTGCTCCTTTTGCCTCTTAGTGGCTGCTTTTTTGGCACAAATTGAACATATCAAAAGACTATTTATTTTCCCTGCATCGAAGGGTTTCCCTTCTTTTATCTTCTTTTGTTTCTGTGTGCTTTGCTGACCTGTTTGAGAGGCTGGATCTTCTGTTTCTGTGCCGATTCATCACCCATAACACATACAAATAACTAATTAAAAAAGTTTCATCGTGAAATTGAACACATGCAGACTGAACGCAACGAATAAACAGTGAATACACCGATTGGGTGGAATCAAGTAAAAGTCATCATGGCTTCAGTGGAGGTGGGGAAGGATTCCTGAAACGGGGCTGCAAATTCGAATCAGGAAGATGCTCCTAAATTGTCTTGAACACAACTATGATCTTAATTACAGGACTCTGCCATTAGGGTTTATTCCAAAAATCAGCTGTGGGAGGCATCCTTCATTCAAGTCAGACTCTCTTCATCTTTTCCAAATACATAGAACAACGGACTTAATGAGAAGCAATTTACCCTCATTAAATTCCCCTTAGCTATAAAAACACTGAGTTCAGCTCACCATTAGTAAAGTGTTAGAAACTAAAGAACAAACAAAACAAAACATTGTTTACAATGCTGTACATTTGTGTCAGCATTAGCAGTTCACGGGCGACTGAGCAGCCATGAATATTTGAGAAATGCACATGTCTGTTTCACAGTGTATTCTCACTAGTCTAATGCAATTTCTTGGTCCTCTCTCTCTTTGAGAATACGGAATAGCAATTAGCTTCCTCTGCAGCTGATCATTTGTTCTCCTTTAAACTTGTTTACAGATACTAATGAAGCCTCGGGCAGCGCCTCCCAGAAACAAAGTGAACCCCCCTGTGAGTGTCCATGTACAGCCTGCAACATGATGCACACGAATGCTGTTGCTGGGGTGTGTGTGTGTGTGTGTGTGTGTGTGTGTGTGTGTGTGTGTGTGTGGTCTTTGGAGATATCCCTCTAGAGCCACACAGTAGCAGATGTAGGGAAACTGCCCGGAGCAGGCCAGTGGAAGAGGAGGACAGCAAAAGCTTCTACAGATTACACTGGACACACACACACACACACACACACACACAAACGCACACGCACTCAAATAATGGCCACATCTTTTGAAAGTCTGTCTCAGCAACACAAAAGTACACAAAAAGACACACACAGTACAAAACAAACAATCGAACTTTTACCACTTATTTGTTCTTTTACTGTGCTTTGCATTTCCATCTCCAGCAACCAGTCAAACGTTTACCCAAGTGCAATCTCGCACTCGCCGACTCAGTAGTTTGCATCTTTAAAACAAAGCTGCCGTCTCCCAGAAATAATGAGTTTGCAGAAGCTTTAAAATGGATTAGCATACGTGAATAGGAAATAGATTAAGTTTTAGACACCTTGATTGCAACATACATCATTCCAAGAAAGATTATTGATTTATTAATGTGTGCTAATGTTAACTGGCTTAAACCAACACGTTTGTCACAAGGAGACAACAGTGATTGAGAAGACACAAGGTTCAATGCAGACTGTACAGCATGTCCAGACATGCCCATCCTTCCTCTTAAATGCATGCCGTTTAATTTGGCTGTGGATCTTGTTCTGTATACCAAAACAGCACATCTGAAGATTGTTTCCACATTCCAGTCAAGTCCTCATATTAAACGACAGACAGGTTTTTAGATGAGATATTCTGTCTTTGTCCTGTGTATAATTCATTGCATAACAAGCACTGAAACTGAAGCAGAAATCAGGCTTTGATTGGAACACACACCCTCTGTCACACACAAACACACGCACTCACACTCTCTCTCTCTCAATTTGTTCTTCAACAGTGACTGTTATTAGATTACTTAATCAACAGCGTTTACACAGAGAACACTGACAAAAACACTAATGCGGCTTACAGACAAGAAGGATCCACTCTTTACCTTGGTCACGCTTAAAAGCATCTCTCAGCTATCAATCCTCAAAGAGGCTTCTGAAAGCTCTGCTAAATGGCAATTTATATCACTTTCACCGCGCCTTTGACGTCACGAAAGAAGCTGTTAATGCAAATGTGTTGCTCACTGATCTGAATTCACTGAGGCCTCTCAGCTAATCGGTGCCCCACTTGACGCAACACTCGCACCGGGAAGCTAAGAGACTGATGGCTGATTTTTAGGTTTGATTATGAATAAAATGTCTTCATGTCAGATGTTGAGAGGCTGCGGTG